CCCCAGCTCCACCCAATCCGCCGCGGCACTTGAACTCGCCCTCCGGACAGCTGTTGATCACCGCCGCGCACTTGAGCTCATCCGAGTTGTCGTTGCAGTCGTGCTCCCCATCGCACCGGAAGGCCAGGGAGATGCAGTAGCCATCGTTGCAGGTGAAGTGCTCATCCGTGCAGGTGGTGCGATTGCAGTGGGTCTCGTCGGAGAAGTCCTTGCAGTCGTTCTCCCCATCACAGAGCCAAGTCCGCGGAATGCAGAATCCGTTCAGACACTCGAACTGATCCTCGGTGCAGTTCGTCCGAGCTCCGCAATGCGTCTCATCCGAATAGTCGCCACAATCATCGTCTCCATCGCAGAGCCAGTACTTGCTAATGCATCGAAAGGTTCGGGGGCACATTACATGTAGCCCGGTCTTTTCGCAATCCCTTTGCAAATTCGGCATCGCATCCTCCTCGGGATTGCAATTCTCCCCAGATTCATTCGAGTTCTGACAGTTGGCATACGTCTCGCCCGGCTGACTGGGATCATCTTGCACCAGAACAGCCAGGTTGACCCTGAACGGTTTCTGCTTGTTACTGGGTCCACCTATGAATCCTTCCCGCCCGCGGGAACTGATTCGATCAACCTCCCGTAGACCTCCACCTCCGACCTCGGCTCGACCCCTTTGGGCGCCGACGTTACGAAATTTCGGAGTATCGCTCGAGCTAGAGCCTCCGGATATCCTCGCCTTTGATGGCACAGACGATTCCATAGTATGCAATTTACCCTCGCCACTGTGATGGACTTCCTGGCTATCCCTGTCCTCGTTGTTATGTTGATAAGGCGGATAGTTGGAAACGGGGAGGAGCTTCTCTCCGAATTTGCTCAGCTCCTCCGAGAGCTGGTCCTCCCGAGACTCGTTTCCCGTCTCTAAATGCCCAATCCTGGCGTCTGAGTGCAACTGTTTGTGCTTATTCCAGTCCCAACGCCCCAGAGCATTTGTGGGGTGTATTCCATAGTGGGGCGCGTTACGTTTCACAGCAAATTTCGTCAAGTCGCCTAGACCGAAACCTAGTCAAATATATAATTCTCAAGATCATTAATTTTCCTATCAGTTGAATTCGATTGAAAAGATTTTTTTAATGAATATATAGATATATTCAATAGTATAGATAGTACATAAGGAGTTCGAAGTCTTAAAACCATGATAATACAAAACATTCCAAAATGTTTACAAGCAAATATTTTATCATTTGTTGAAAAGCGTTTTCAGTAAATGTAAACAATTTTTTTGATTCAAAATTGAGTAGCTCAAAAAACTTATAAACTTAATACACTCAAAAAAATGTTTAAAAAACTGGAAATCAAAAAAAATTCCCATTGCTCCAAGGGCTATTTTTGATTGTTTACAAACTCAATGCTCATATCTTATAGCAAATGGAATATATTCAAGATAGTAATCAAAATATTTTAAATAATACACCTTAAAAAAGAATGGTTTTGAGAGAGGTCAGTTTTCATCGGGTTGGGTTAACTTGAGAAGATGATACTTTTTGGTTGTTTTAAATGTCTCTGGGTGGCGTAGGCGTTAACAGATATCCACGAAAGGAGTACTTACAGAGCCACACGAAGCATACCAATGGCCAAAAGGGAAAGGCTGTCAAATACATGTCCAGACATGTACACAAACTCGCCCACTCATAGGCACGTAACGTATGTAGTGGCGGTAGGCGAGCTTTACTGCTCCTGCTGCCAAAGCATTTGCTCGTGCTCTGCTTCTGCTTCTGCTTCTGCCAAGCGGATGCTGCTGTGCTGTTGCTTTCTGATGGCTTCTGTTACGATTCTGTTAGGCGAGAGAGAGAGAGAAAGAGAGAGGTGTTCGATTCAAGCGCTTGCGTATAACATATTTGGCTCCCGAGGCGGATCTAGAGTTATATTTCGGGGGCGGAACTTTTTAAATAATGAAATTCACTTAATGATTTTGTCTTGTTGTTACATGTATAACAAGAAGTTGTGGGTGTGTGGGTGGTTAGGTGGGTAGGTGGGGGTGGGTGTATGTGGGGGCGGGGGTGCGGTCCCATCCGCGAATCCCGCCCACCTGATGTATCTCTTCTGTATGCTACACTTAACCAAACTTATTTTAAGCGTGGGTGTCACTTAAAAAAATATATATTCAAATTTTGCCTATCCCTTTTGAATAAGGATGCATTAGTTAGTAATTATATAATTTGTAATTGTATTTATATTAGTTATAAACGTTTTGGCTTAACAATTTCACTTGTCTTTGTCGTCACTGTTACACCCTCAATATTTTTTGTATTACGGTTTGTGACCGTGGGAGGTGGAAACAGGTCTCTGGTATCTTATTACTCCCACTTAGATGACATTGGAATTGGAAGCGATATTATGCGGCACTAGTCTAATAGCACTACTTTCTTTAACTGCAACTTCTATCCTTTTATTTACACTGGGAGTTCGAAGGGACCTAGGGCTTATTTATTCGCTGCGTGGGCTTAGCCCAAGGTCTGGTATTTCATAAATGTGTACAAAGGTGTTTATAGAGTTCTGCAAAGACCTTTCAGTATGAATACGACTTTTGGGACTTTGTTGGTATTTATGTATGTCATGCGCACCACACACGCGAACATATGCAGATTAAACTAAAGATTATTAAAATTCTTCAAAACTTATGCACTTTTCTATGCCTTTTAGAGAGTACAAGGAACAGTCAAAAAAGTTATTAGTTCAACACACATTTTTGTCGAGAATTCACTAGAAAGAAAAATTATTTTCGTACAGCACGTCTCTTGTCTTCTCCGAGAATGTAACCAATATGAAATTTGCGAAGATTACATTACAGCATCCCTCAGTCGGAAAACAAAGTCGGTAAACGCGACTGTTAAACTTAACTCTCGGGTCCTGTTCAAAGTTTTGGTTTTGTCTGCATGCCTGAGCTTTTTTCTGGGAATCGAGCTTTTGACGGTTTTGAGGTAAACTAATTTGTTTAGCATTTTCCTCAGAAAACAAATCTAGTTAAAGATATAAGTATAAAGGCATTTAAAATCCTGCGTTTTTGACTAAAATCTTAATATTGTATATTTGACAAATATCTGAACCCCATTTTTCGCCATAAAAAATCAGTTTTTTGGCTGCCATAATTAAAATAAAAGTCAGATTGAGGAATGTCATACCTCGTTGAGCTCGTAGTTTAAATTCCAATCGATTGACATTCAAACCTGAAAATTTTCCATTTTTGCCAATTTTCGCAAAAAATGTAATGCCAAAAACGCGAAAATTGGTCAAAAAATATATTTCCCTTAAAGTGATGGTTTAGCAAGCTGCTCAAAACAGTCGGTCTTTCAGCTGTACGCCTTAATTTGGCTAAATTACGACTGAAAAACCACTAAAAAATTAGTATTTTTGACCAAAATCTGAATCATAAAAAAAAACCGAGCTACCCCCTTACAAAAAATGAAAAAATTTGTCAAAAAATAAATTTTTCCCAAAGTGATAGGGATCGATAGCAATTGAAGCAAGCTGCTCAAAACTGTCGGTCTTTCAGCTGTACGCCTTGATTTGGCTAAACTACGACTGAAAAACCACTAAAAAATGAGTATTTTTGACCAAAATCTGAATCCCAAAAAAAACCGAGTTACCCCCTTACAAAAAATGGAAAAATTTGTCAAAAAATAAATTTTCCCCAAAGTGATAGGGATCGATAGCAATTGAAGCAAGCTGCTCAAAACTGTCGGTCTTTCAGCTGTACGCCTTGATTTGGCTGAACTACGTTTGAAAAACCACTAAAAAATGAGTATTTTTGACCAAAATCTGAATCCCAAAAAAAACCGAGTAACAAACCTTACAAAAAATGAAAAAATTTGTCAAAAAATAAATTTTCCCCAAAGTGATAGGGATCGATAGCAATTGAAGCAAGCTGCTCAAAACTGTCGGTCTTTCAGCTGTACGCCTTGATTTGGCTAAACTACGACTGAAAAACCACTAAAAAATGAGTATTTTTGACCAAAATCTGAATCTCAAAAAAAACCGAGCTACCCCCTTACAAAAAATGAAAAAATTTGTCAAAAAATAAATTTTCCCCAAAGTGATAGGGATCGATAGCAATTGAAGCAAGCTGCTCAAAACTGTCAGTCTTTCAGCTGTACGCCTTGATTTGGCTAAACTACGACTGAAAAACCACTAAAAAATTAGTATTTTTGACCAAAATCTGAATCACAAAAAAAACCGAGCTACCCCCTTACAAAAAATGAAAAAATTTGTCAAAAAATAAATCTTCCTTTAAGTGGTAGGGATCGTTAGAATATCTAGCAAGCTGCTCAAAACAGTCATTCTCTTAGCTGTACTTCTTGATTTGGCTAAACTACGATTAAAAAAGCGCGAGAAAAATGAGTATTTCGACCAAAATCTGAATCCCTTTTATTCCGCCCTAAAAATCAGTTTTTTGGATGCTGTTATACTAATAAAAGTCAGAATAAGAAATTCTAATTATTTTCCTTTTTTTTAAATTTAAAAGTTAACGGATTTTATCTGTTTAAAAACCCTTAACCACTCAGTTTATCTAATGCAAGGTGGCAACGCCCTTAATATTTTTGGTATTTTTTCAGGGAACCCACGCAAGAATGGTTGGGACTTTTTTTGAGATGTCAAATACCCAACAGCATTTATTCTAAACCTTTATTTTTCAAAAAAATTTGCAAGCTTTCAATTTTTTCCCTACGCTTGTTTTATATCCCGTGACACTTTTTTAATCGTGTGTAAATTTATTGATTCTTCTTTTATATTTTTATATTAACAATAATTTTATAACTATAATGAAACAACACTACGTATAATAACTTTATATTAAAAAAATAAAAAACAAAATAATTTCAGTTAGATTATTTTAAATACGGTACAATCGATTTTTTCTTGCCAAACATTTGCTTAAAAAATCGATACGCTCAAGATCAATATTCTCGCCAATATTCAGTGGATAAGTGCTATAACACCAATGGAACTAGTTTCTTTTTAGTATAAGGTGTAACTATCTGGTTCACATAAATGCTTTGTCCACGCCGGTTAAGTGGCAAACGTGTGCAACATCGATTATATTTTCTCAAATAATTAAATTATTCCATCAAATGGAGCTCTGTGCAATTTGGATATAAAGCCATATCGTCGGGATGTGTTTATTCCGATAATAGGACAAACAATTCGGCTTGTTTGCGATCATATCGATCATACCATTGTATGTATGTATGTACATCAATATACATATGAGTATGAAAGACATTGTTCAACAGGTCGAAAACATATGTAAATAAAGACATGTAATGTGCATTAGACGAAATCAAAGTAGTGCGATTACGTACATATATGGCGAAGAAGAATTGCTGAGGAACGCAAGACTACATTGGGCATTTCTTAGAAATTGATATTTGTATGTCAAGAAAGGGTTCCCCCAATATATGTACTTACGATCGCCTCCGATTGTACGCAGTATTCGATATCAGAGTTCCCCAAAAATTCTTGATAATTCGGCACTCATAAATGGCTTAAGGGTGCCCCCAGACTCAACAATGGATCTTTTATGTTCGGAAAACCTAGTTGGTGAATCTGATTCATCATTGTATCGCCTAAACAAATGCCAAGAGAAAATGTCTGCGCCATATCCAACATCGTCAATGGGTGCTATAAAACCCCATACGGATCCAGAGCCGGTGCAAAGTCCTTCGGAATATTCTCAGAACAACCAGATGGACGAGAAGATTATGTACATATATGCATCGGTAGACGCGGCTGGGAAGAATCAAGAAGAATTGGAGCCAGAAGTACCAGTAGCAGCACCACCAACGCAATCATCTCTACAAAGTTATGCGCATTACATCAGCCAGGAACCGAAGTCACTGACCACGTCGCAAACACAATCACAATCACAGTCCCAGCGTTATAATGATCGGGTGCCCAAAACTGCCGATTCACCCGCCACGGACAACGTGAACACCGCCATCGGGGATCCCACACTGTACTCGGATCGGTGCCTGGAGAATGCCCTCAAGGCCGAGGAGAAGTACCACCAAATTGTGGACACTTACTTCACTATCCAGAAGGATATTACGCCGCCAATGCGAAAAATTGTCGCCGAATGGATGATGGAAGTGAGTATTTTAATCGCTGGTGCTTAAAAAGATTAAATACCGATTTAGGGATACCCTTTAGTAACTAATCTGTTAAAAAATGAGTTGATATCAAACTAAATCCCTATTCTGTGTATTCTTATGGTTCCTTAGTAAACCCCCTTCTCCCTGCACATCCTTTGTTGTTGTTATTAAATCAACTTTAAAATTATGCATTACCTTACAGGTGTGTGCTGAAGAGAATTGCCAGGAAGAGGTCGTGTTACTGGCATTAAATTACATGGATCGATTTCTTTCGAGCAAATCGGTGCGCAAGACGCATCTTCAAATTCTGGCTGCCGCCTGTCTTTTACTTGCTTCAAAACTCCGAGAACCCAGCTGTCGTGCACTTTCGGTAGATCTACTAGTTGTTTATACGGACAACAGCATTTATAAGGACGATTTGATTGTGAGTACTGGTTACTTCATGATTTTTCCATATTCAATAACTTTGTATGTCTTTCTACTCATTCTAATTTAAGAAATGGGAGCTGTATGTACTCAGCCGTTTGGGTTGGGACCTTTCATCTGTGACTCCCCTGGATTTCCTTGAGCTTTTAATGATGCGCTTGCCGATCGGAAGTAAAAACTTCCCAGACATAAACATTGGAAAAGTTAGGGGACATGCTCAGGCATTCATATCTCTGGCAGCAAAAGGTATGCTCAAAGGGTTTTATAGAACTTATAGCAGCCATACTGATGACACTGTTTCTCCCTTGTTAAGAGCATAAATTTGCCAAGTTTTCGGCCAGCACAATAGCCGCATCCAGCATAGCTGCATCGATGAATGGCTTGAAATGGCATTTGAGGTCGGGACACAACTTACACTTCCTGTTGAGTCTTATGACTGATCTAACCAGCGTGGAGCAAGTGAGTACACGGTGATCCTTCATTTGTAATCCTGCATTTACATTTTCTTTGAACAGGCTCAGGTGCAGGATTGCATGTTGCATATGGAGGACATCTTCAAAGAGCACAGTCGAAACCTGCAGCCCTTTCTAGTGAACATAGACCCCTCGCAGATGTCCACGCTGTACTACCAGGGACGTTTTCAGATACATCAAGCCCAGCACCTCTCGCAAATCTCATTACGATCCTTGCCTCTGCCGAAAACATCAGCCGACTGTGTGGAACAGCATCAGCAGCACAACTTCGGCTCGGCAGCGCCTCACCGAACACATACATGCAAAATGCAGGCGCAGGCCCAAAATGAGCTACAAGACATTACATTTTGAGGTGTCAAATAGTAATACAAGCAGATAGTTATGCTAGATTTAAAACTAAAATATATAATATACCATTTTTACTACTGTATAGGATCACGATTACTTTATATTCCTATGACTGTAAGATTGGTCAATATCATATTAATTACGTCTGTACCGATGTATTTCATTAACCCAACTATTGCGACCAATTTATGGGTTTTTAATTTAGCTATCATTAATAAATTGTATAAAATAGCGTTAGACAATCATCATGAAACTTTAAAATGGAAAAAACATTAAAACGAGACTGAATGTAAACAGTAAAGCAACATTTTATATATTGTGTATATAAGCTTTTCGAAAACCTACCCAGGCAACCAAAAAATATCGAACTATTAAAATAAAAGTTTTCAAAACCCATCCAATAAAAGAAATAACAATATGTTAAAGGTAAATTCAACGAAAAGTTTGGATAATAATAATTGTAGTTTGTAATAAATAATAGGAAAAACCAAGTTCTTTTGTAATATTTTTATTTCCCATGTCGCCACACCCTTACAAGGTTTGTATACATATTCCAGTACATAGTACGAAAAAAAAGAGGTTTAAAACCCCCTTAAGATAAACCTTACCTTCACACCCCATACCAAATAATTGCAGAACACACAAATTATTTCATTTTAATTTATTTTCTTATTAACATATGACTATAAACAAGAATCATTGAAGACCATAGCCTTAACACACAATAATATTTTGTATAGAATAGATTTCTGTTGAATTTTAATATTTTGCGGACATATCGATGCTAAATAATTTTGTTGGCATTTATACTTTGTTTTTAAGATAGTCCATTCAAATTTTAAAGTGAGTATATAGATAATTTTACCATCAATGTAGAAGCATTGTAACACTGCAATTAACAATTTTTTTAGTTATCATTCCGTTTTATTTGAGCTTTAAAAAAATACTGGCTTTATTGCACTCCTCCGGGCGTTGTTGCATTCACCCGTCTCTTTCACTGCGTTACAAATATAAGATAGTACCCTCTGTAAACAAGACTATAAACCTAAAATCGTTTTACATACATACATACATATATATATATTCATAAATACTCATTTTGGAAAATAAATTTGTTTATTTCACGTTAAAATATACTTTAAAAAGTAAATGGTTGATGATGATACTACTAATTCGAGAGCATTAATTTGTATGTGGAAATATCCAGCGATGTTGTGACACACCGATGAATGCTTCCATAGATTTTAAACCAAACAGACATCTTGAAAGCTTCGAGTTATACTTCTTTGACTTTTGATGGTGATATGATGACGCGTACGTGTTTTTGCTATTCCTCAGTAAATAATTTGCATACTTTGCATATTGTGCTTAATTTTGCTCGCATTACTTGAATCGGGAACTAAAGGCATTGGATAACTCATTGATAGCTGACTGGCCGACGGCCTGGTTAACCTGTCCACGCATACTCTCCGGAATATAGCGATTGGCGCCCGACTGCTGAACAATGGCACCGCCGACAGCTCCAGAGACACGGCTTGAAATGATAAGTGGATTATTGAGTTTGGTATTATAGCACTTCAAGGGTTTATAAAGCGTGTACTGATAGATTTGCGCAATCATCCCAACCAGCCAAACACTTTTCGAATCGAACTTATATGTTATATAGTTATGTGCCACTGAACTTAAGGATTATAATTTTATTTACTTCAAAACATTTAATTTTACTTTATCAAGTGTTAAATTTTAAAATATATTTAATTAATAGTAATTTTGCGACTTTAAAAAATATTATTTTCGGTTTTTGGTATATACTTAAAAAAAATTCAATAGTATATTTGGTATTTTAGCTTTTGAAATTTTCTTTCAAGATGTAGTAATCTATCCAAACAATTATATAATCAAACTTGTATGCTGATATTTATGTAAAGATTATAATTTTGTTGAATAAAAAAAATAGATATGAGATTTGCATTTAAAAAACTTCAAAACATTTTTTTATAGTTTTTAAAGTGTTCAATTTAACAGTATATTTAATGGTTATATGGTGAATTTTCTATTTTAAAAACGATTATTTTCGGTTTTTAGTGTATAAAGCTGAGTTCTTGAGAACTCTCAAGACCTTTAATAGACCTGAAATAAACCATCGAGAGTATTCCCTTAAGCTTTTCCCAACACGACTTCGCTATGTATGTATGTACATCGGTGGGTATTATTATTAAGTTTTAACGCCAAACATAAAATAAATCATGTTTCCCGCCAGTAAGCAATACACACTTATTTAATACGAACAATTTATGTATTTATTTATGCACTTTATTTGTGTATACGCAAAGTGGTCATATGTAATATAAGTTGCTGCATATTTCCATCGTCACAATCCATTTGAGTAAGTCACAAGAGTATTTTCATGACTTATATTTGTAATCAACATTAAAAATAATACATTTTACATATAAATATTGGAAACACGTATGTATATTAGTTTATAGCTGCGGTGGCAAAAAATCGATCTAATTCAGCGATCGGTACACGTATGGAATATCCCGATCGCTGATCTAATGTCAAAACCAAAGTATACTTGATATTGCCATATAAAATTATGTTAAATAATATAGTTTTATGTTATTGGGAATCGATACAAATCACTCAAATGAATGGCTGTTCAATACACAGCTAATTTTGTAAATATTTTCATTGGAATTACACAAAAAACGTTTGATTAGATAACAATACAAACTGATTTTAATCATTGAAAAGGAATGGACAATACAAATAAGCGTTAATTTAATCGATTAACTTAATCGTTTCTTGGAAACGGGACACCTAGCAATTCCACAATCGATACATTTTATCGTTAGGGGAATACAATGTTTTTCTTACAGAAATTACATAAAAAAAAGAGTAACAGAATCTCGATGGCAAACAAATAGTTAATGTGTATCAACCAACTCATTTTTAATTTACAAAAAAATGGAAGAATGCATATTGGAGATCAGAGAAACGAAAGCACTTAATATGTTTTAATTCCAATATTTGCAGTTACATTTTCGATTAAATGGAAGGGGTATTTATCTATTTTATTAGTTTTTTTCAGTTTTGTTTTTAAGTTCAAGGAAATACTTTGTGACTGACTTGAAATGTTTTTAACGTTGCTTTACCTAACATTTTCTAATTTAATTGGGTTTTTTTTATAGTTTAACATCAACAACAACACAATGCAGTTAACGAAAGCTATTTATTAATAGTTAGCTATATAATTAAGATCATTGGTTAATATCGTCACTAAGCATCTGCCCATACAAATAGTTTACAAACTTTTGAGCGTATGCCATTGATAAGGGGACATCAAATTATAATAATAATAATTAGACTTGCACGAACAAATGCACATACATTTGTACATATATATATGTATATTATATCTACACAGGAAAGTAGACATTACGAAAAACATCTTATGGAATTAAAGAAATCATGTGCATCTCGACTATTTGCTTTTCACATATTAAGAATTTATATCAGTTTTAACGCTTTCAGATTATATATATATGACTACAATAATACGCAAGCGATTTAAATGTATCGATTTCCCATCGTTGTTAGCTTTTGGATTTTGCCGGAATAATATCAAATTACAATTGTTGAAAGTATACTATAATTGGGTATTGTGTTGGTTAAATCGTCAGCAAGCTACTTTCTGAAGTTCATCCCCATAGATGTTTCTCGATGCTGACAACAATTTAACGACGTCTGTACATTTGTATATTGTAATATTTTTATTTATTTGGTGTTGTGTGAGTGAAATATAAGAATGTTTCGGTTTTAATCGTATCACATAGAAAGAGAAAAAGAGACAGCAAAAACAGTTTATTAATTTTGTTCAAAATATCTAAGACAGGAACATTGTCATTTAACTTAGGATTAACACTATTAAGAGGAGGTTCAAAGGTTACTCGAGTATTTCATAAAATATTTGAGGGGGTTTCACAGAAATCGCTTTTGCTTTAATTTCCAATTCTCTTCAATTCCATTTCGCGGTGCCACCGATGTTCTTTTCAAAGTCTACTAAATAAAAGCTTTCTTTTTCGAAAGGGAAGTTAAGTTCCTGATTTTCAACACTGGTTAGGTAAATAGTTAGTGCGTAGTTAGTAAGCATTAAAATCATAAATTAAATACATAGTATACATTTTTAACCACGACTTGTGATTATTATGTAATACCCATTTAAAAACATACATTAGCGAAGTCGCATTGAAATATGCTTGAGTTAATACTCACGGATTTCAAAAGTCATTGTACATCGTTAAAAAATGTACTTTAGAGGGCACTTCTAATTATTATTAAAAACACTTGTAAACTAATATAATTTCTATGCAGCAAACACATGAGATGAAAAGGTCTCAGCCAATTGTGGATAAAATAATACAACTAAACTACAAAGAGGTGCCACATAAATCGCTTTCGATTAATTTATCTTTAATTTTATTACCTACAATAGAAATATGACTATTTTGAAAGCACTTTAAAGGGAGTTAATATAACAGAAAAAGCTTAGAAATTAAAAAGTTATTGCAACAAAAACTCAAATTTAAGAATTATTGTCTATTTGGTTACATTTAAAAATGTTTTTGTGGTTCTGTGGCAACGCGATTATTTTGGCTTATCGATAACCCATATCGTTAAGGATTTCTGTGACACCCCTAATATATGGATCATTATTTACAAATACCGCGTTTCCACTTGCAGTTTATTTTAGATAATTAATATTAGATGTTTAATTAAAACCATTCATTAGAATTATCAATTTATTGCATAATAATGACCCATATATGACTATGTGTATTTCCAATAGACAGAAAACGGGGAGTACTCACGATGGTAACATTGGTGGGGGCAGAGCTCCTCCGGGACGACCGCCGGGTAGTGGTGGTGCCCCACCGCCTGGGCGATTGGGAATCGCTGGAGCTGGGCGGCCTGTAGCTGGTGGCAATGGTGGGTTCCGTCCACCTAAGGAGCTCTGGAAGCCATATAAATAGGTTATAGCCCTACCATGTGTATTATTTCAATCAGCCTTACCTGTGCGGGAGGTCCTGGTTTACCTCGGGCTCCACCCGGGCTTGGAGGGGAAAGACGTGGGTTATCCAAACCACTTGGTAGCCAATCATTTTTAACTGGAGGAGGCAAGGGCGAGGACACAGTTGCCATGGATACGTCGCCTTAAATTCAAGTAAATGTGGGAGAGCTCTTAATATACACGTTAACGAGGGAGAAGGCTATAGTCGAATGTCTCGACTTTCTGATACCCATTACTCAGCTAACTAACTCAAATTGAATCTGCAAGGGTAATCCGAAACTCCGGGTTCATACGGACATCAATAGTTTGTCTCGGATAGTGATCCTGGTCAAGAACACATTTACTTTATAGGGTCGAAATGACTCCCTACTACCTATTACATACTTTCTAACGAATACAATATACCCATTTACTCTACGATTACCGGGTATAAAAATTCCAGCAGTCTGTTAATATTTACCTATGATCTGCAAAGCGTCTTTGCAAGCACGGTACATTCGCAGCATCTCCTCTCGTCGTGTAGCGGACTCAGCCGACTCTTCCATCATCTGGGACTGTAGGAGAAGAGCTAGTTGGTTAACCCTGATCTAAAGACCACTATGAGTTAGCATACCTGATCGCCAGACGCATAGAGATGTGCTAGAAGCTCTCCGTTGATAAAGTCCTTGGCATTGTTTATAATCAGCATCATAATTGCCTTGGGCACCATGTCTCGCGTGGTCTTTGTCACGATCTTCATGTAGGAGTCAACCAGATTACGGATGGTCTCGACCTGCCGTTCTAGCTGTGGATCGGTGGAACTCTCCTCGCTGGCCGACTGTTGTTTGCGGAAATTCGTATAAGGTTTGGTTTGGGGAATTTGATAGTCCATAAATGATCGTTGATAATTTTATAAAGTGCATAGGTATTTGAAAACATAAAAACCAACTGAACAAATATTTTGAAAACATAATCACCAACTGAATCGTGCACATAAAAAGGAGAAATAACGCTTTAGTCGAGTTTCCGACTAACATTTAACCCGCTACTCACTTCCCTGGTAAAAATAATGTTCCATAACCAAAAGGATTTGCAAAAAAAACATGCATAAAGGTCGTATAGATAGATATAGGGTTTGTATTTAGTGTTTTCCTGGTGAAAAGTAGCCAAGGCTTACAATTTTCATTGACATTTTAGACTACAAAAAATTACCTACAGATAAACAGGACCTTAAATCGGAAAAAAATTACACGCGAGACTAAAGACCTTTCCAAATGGATTTTAATATCAATATTAAATAAAAGTCAACCTCGATATAAGGGATCGCTAAAGTTATTCTTCAAATTGTACAGGGTTCTTTAAAAATAAAAACATTAAATATTCATTTTTTCAGGGGTGGCGTAACCCCTTTAAAAGTGATTTTAAATATGGTACTTAACTATTTGAATAACAAACAAATATTTAACGGGAGGGTTTTAAAAATACCATACTTCAATAAACAAATTTCAATAAAACTGTCCGCAGTTTGAAGATTATATTTTAAAACTTGGAAACATAACCTTTTATCATTTATCAGTGAAATAAAATCAAAACCAGAACGAATAGTTCTGTAACCCCAAAGCAATTTATAAGGTTTTAATGAATACGTAATGTTTTTTTTTCAGAAAAAAATGGTACGCCTGGGAATATAATAAATTTTATTGACTTTTTTATGAGCTTGAATTCGACGAATTTGAAATTTTCCCACTCGCTTGTGGGTTATCCGAACTCTCATCTTTATTATGACCAAAAACATGTTAAGTACCATGCGTTTAAATATTTTGAACGTTGAGTAAAATAAATAATACCAATATTTTAATATAATAACAAATAATTTAAGAAGACCAAATGGCATGCAACTGACGACTGTCTCTTTTAAGAAAAATGTTGATAAATATTTAGGGAAGAGGTTTGTATTCCAAACCACTGACCTCTTCGTCTATATACAACCCTTATATACTTAAAATTGAGACGAATCATCTTGAAATTTAATAAAACTAATAAAGAACGCTATAGTCGAGTATCCGACTATGGGATACCCGCTACTCACTGCCCTCTTACGCAATGATACCAATCCCAAATCGTTAGTTCTTTGAGGTCCAGAGATCCCGAAGATCTTACGGACAGACAGACATGGCTAAATCTTATATAGGATTGGTAATAATTCCAGTATACGATTTATTCTCTACGAGTAACGGCTATAAATATATAATAAGGTAGTGAAAAATTCAACAATTACATAAATAAAAAATGAACTCAATAAAAACGATTGAAATCAACATACTTTTTGCTAAAAACCAACCGGAAGAAATTATTAATTTTGTGTATATATTTTATTTGGCGTTTCATAGATTTGTCGTTTTGTTCGGTAGGTGGCGGAAAAATAGAAGAGAACAACATGTTCACAATTGTTAAAAGAAACACGTAACAACACAATAGTCGAGAGTTGCCCGACTATGGAGATAATCTGTAATTTTAGGTTAGTTAAATAAACATGGCGTACTAAGTATATCAGGTGAAAGAACCGAGCCAGCTACCTTCTTTCGATCACAGATTTGGTTAATGAAAAAATATCACAGTCCGAGAAAATCGATAAATGCTCCAACCAGTGCAAAATAATCGATTAATGTTTAAAAAACCTTTTTTGAATAGTTAACAATGTTAATGATGTATTTAAAATCTCAATCGGATGGTGATATTTCAGTTAATCGCACCTCTAACCATTTAAGGGGTTACACCACCTTGATATCACCAGGTGTACTCTCTTTAAGAATATACACTTAAAAAAATGTTTTTGTTTACTATTAATATAAATTTTTACTTTTTATGAATGTGATGACATTTAAAGCCGTAGTTCTAAGCATTTCCTGAACCGATTAATGATATATTAGTAATATTAGTTTTTATACAAAGAATTTTGAAAAAGTATTTTTTCAAAAAACGGCTAAAATACCTCACTATTTTTGAAATAAAAAAAAAACAAATAATTCGAACAAAACAATTCTTAATTAATCAAAAGATGTTAAAATAATGTATTAGTTATTAGTAATCAAATTCGCATAGGTTGATACGAATTCTCGTAGGTGGATATACTAAATAAAATATAGTCCGTAAAGTTCAAAGATTAACAAACCTCTTGTCCTTCCTGGATGACGAATATACATATAGCATCAATATTGCGAGTTATTTTGTAGATTCGGTCAGTGAAACAGCGAAAACAAAGATATATATATATGTAAATTATTCTGCCATGAATATTTAATTATTTTTTTGTTTATTGTCTATGTAATAGTCTGAATTTTGTTCACTTTGCTTGGAATTATACTTAAATGATAAACAAATGAAAACCAATTACGCAAATGGGAGAAAAATTTCCTATGACAACTATAGGAGGAAAAAGAACACGAGTATCATATCATATATACACTTCATAGGGTTGAAGATATTAACCAAAGTTAAAATACGAAGTGTATAGGTTATTATTGAAGGGATTGCATACTTTGTAGGCAGTTAATATAACCAATTGGTGTAGAGATTAGTGTACAGACCAGTATCTAGAAGACGTACTTATGTGGATAATGGGTATCTGTATACGCACCTCATCGCCATTCTCCTGAGTCTCCTGCTTCTCGGGATAGACACCAGCTCGCAGGAAGGAGGCCTTCCACGACTCCACATCTTCCACGGTTTCGCACGACAGCTCCAGTTGTTTGTAATCCTAAAATACCGTGTGTTTGGAAAACAAAACATTTGTGATGAGACACATTGTGAGGCACATAATGCATTCATTAGACAATCAGATCAAGAAGATGGTGATATTTCTTAAGAATTAATTTTGCTTGCTTTGTTTTCAAGTTATATTATATAATGAACTCATATTAAGACGTGCTCGGCGGAACTCGATACTCATTCTTTGTTTTTTTAAATACAAAAAGGACTCATTTATTTTATTCTTTAAAAAATCTAGGGTTCGGCACTGAAGATCCATAGAAGGCGGAAAAGTAGGAGTTATAATATAGAGGTATAGTTCCAGAAAACCTGGTATTTCAACAAACGGACTGTGAAAACAACGCAGACAACGGACTTCTTTCTCTCAGGATGTTTCTCCATCGAATGCTCGGTTATTCGCCGATCACGCCATATATGTATACCCATTGAAGCTTTCGCATTTCGAAAGTCATTGTCGATCTGTGTAGCCTAATAGCCCCATCTGCGCATCTGTTGTGGAACCGTTGATCGACTGTTAAAATGATAACTATAACAAACATGAAGAATTTAAGAAAAATTAATATTGTGTGTGGTGTCGTCTTTGTTGGGAAGTGAATAATACTGTTTTTGTTTTATAATGTTATTCAAGACCGATCACACCTTCGATTAACATCCCTAGACATTATATTGTGTGCCTCTGAGTCCAGGATATCACGGTCCGTGAAATATGTCTTTGTGCTGAAAACGCGATTTCAAGTCTCCAAAAAATGTTTTGAAAATATGCAGTCCGTTTAGGGATTACTTTTTAAATATTAAACTGCTTGTCATATGTCTTAATATGCTATTTATAGCTAATATCTGCTTAAAAATATAAAATAACTACTGCTTAAACATTAATATTAGATCTGTGTACACCGAGTATTTAAAGGCAATGTAGGAAATTCTGGCACATGAGGATTACTAGATGAAAGCTCGACTTGCTTACTATGGGGTAAATGAAAAAGCCCTTTTAGTAGTTCCGAAAAGGAAAGGAAAAGAAAGTGTTGATTTTCATAATTTCCTCAACTTAAGCGAAATGTTAAAAATCTTTTAAAAATCCTCTCGGTATCTTAGATTTTCTGGACAAAAAATCGTTTTTGACCATAAAGATTCTCAAGATTCGACAAGCTTTACGGTATCATCAACGATTTTGGAATATCATTTCTAATGTTTGGTGCATTTTACGAAACAAAGTTTCTAGACATTTTCATTTTCTGACTACTGCGCTGAAGTGCATAAGCTTTAAATACAATTACGAGATTAGATAATGATGTATGACTAATTTCGGCGCGATTCACTGCAAATCAGATATTGTCGTGAACTTCTTAAGCTTAATAGCATCACAAAATAAAAAAGCAAAAGGAGTTTACGACGCAGCAAGCTCCTTTTCCTTTAGTTCGACTTAAATGTTGATAAAAACATAGTAATTTTTATATTATACAAAAAAATAATTAATTGATCTCTTTCCCGACTATATATTCAACCAAAGGATTCAAATTGGGGTAGATAATGAAATTTGAAATATTTTGCAAAAAATATCTTCAAAAATTCCTTTTTCTTTTTTGTCGTTTGTTTAGTTATTTTGATTTAAAGTTTTTCTCTGGTTTTGTTTGTTCTTTTTTTTTTTTTTGCTTTCGCTTTTTCTGAAATCATTTAAAATTCATTTTTTTGTATGTTAACAAAAATTACTAACCTTATAAACATTACGTCCATCGGGACTAAATAAAGCAAATGTAACACGTCTAGACATTGACATAAATCCCTGTTCAATATCACGCAATTTTAAACCATCCAACGGCAGCATAAACTTCTTTTCCTTCTCATCCTCGTCCTTATACCAGGAGATACTCTCGGAGGTCAACACAAACCAATAGGGACGCGATCCACCTGCAAGACACAGTTGAAACTCAATGAATGCCCATGGAATTTACGTGCGTGGTAAAAAATTGTAGGCCAGACGCTAAATATTACAGCGTTAACAGCGGGGGTAACCTCTCGAAGAGGTTACAACTCATTTTGGATTAGTAAAGCTCGTTTTATTTCGCCCAACGCTTATATCTATATATATACAAAACTTTTGTATATTTAATTTTTTACTTTTTCCCCAGTTTCATCAGTGAAATTGGGATTGGGGATTTGGGTTTCAAGTCGAACAGCCATCTGGTTAATAACTTTCGCTACCCTAACCGAAGTTCTGAGAAGAATAGAAAACATTTAAGGTCTATATGTGGGTGACTAGATGATAAACACTGAGGTGAATGCACAGAAAATGCATTTTTAAAAATAGCAACGTGTATTTTAGTTACTCTTTGGTTACTATTTAACAGTAAAACTACCATAAAATTATATCTTTTGTGTAATTTGTTATTTACGCAACTATAAGAAAAGGTTAACAACTATTAAAAATAGTGCAGGTGTAGTTTATTGTTGATTTGGTTACTATTTGCTAGTAAAAAAAACCAGAAAGTGGTAAGTTGTGCAATTTTGTTGTTTACGTAACTGCAAAATAAGGTTAATAACTATTAAAAACAGAATCGTGTATCTTTTGTCGCTTTGGTTATTCATTAATAGTAAAACTACCATAAATGGTAAATTTTGTGTTTTTTTTTGGTCAGCTTAGAACTTTGTTTACTATTTACTAGTAAACCAAACAGAAATTTTGTTATTTGCGTAACTGTGCAATAAGGTTAGCAACTGTTAAAAATAGTGATGTAATTTTTTATCACTTTTGTTAGTATTTAATTTTAAAACTACTATGAAATGGTGTGCATTTGTTGGTCAAATTGACCAATTAATGGTCTGGGACTAATTTAACTACTATATTGGTCAATTTTAACTACAATTTTTTAATGTGTGGAGTGCCAAAACTGATGGAGGATGGATGCCCAGGGTGCTAGATGTATAAGCCTCAATATTGCTTTCTATGATGGTGAACTATCCAATAAATGAAGGTTTATAGCATGAGAGGTCAATGTATGGAAATCGCAAAAAAGTTTAAGCACTTAATCACAAAAGTATTGCAACACAAGATAATACCTTCAGAAGGGCGGTACATTGATTGAATAAGATTCCATCCCAATTTTGCTTTTGGTTCTTCTATAAAAAAATATCAAAGTTCTGTCACCACAACCGTTTTGTCATTTCATAACCATCCTTCACCATTTACAAGGCCCAGTACTCCAAACCGAAACAAAGCTAATGCGGCAACGGTCAAAAAGCGTTTAAAAAGCGTTTCTTCGTATACTCGGAAGCTTTCACATAAAAAGTGAAGGATTAACAATGTTCTGCCCCCAACGATGAAAAATAAAATATTATCAACGCGATCCTCCATCATTTAGAGGTAATTTCTCGAAGGCAAAGAGTATGGGAAATCCGCGGCAAAGGGGTACAAACAGCTTCCTAAAATTTGCTGAAATATGCCTAAACCTTGAGAATTTGTGTACTTACCTTTCATGATACCAAGGTTCTGTATGACCATGTGACCCTTACGAATAACTTGGTTGCCAAGCTGACGAGTACCAGTTTTATTGGCATTTTCAGATTTATTTTGAGCGCTATAAGCAAACGAAACGCATATCATAAAACGTTTTAGAAAACAAAGAGAGATTTTCAATACGCACTTGGCGAAACCAATGAAGTCCTCATGGTTGGTATTCATGTAGGCCAGCTCAAAGTCAATGAGCAGAAGAATCTGTTCCTTGCAGCTGTGTTCGCGTTGGCGAACATGTGTTGTGATAATACGTTCGGTCTCCTCACGCAAACGTGGGTATCGACTCATCTAGTTGGAAACATAATTAATACATAATCGTAAGCCATATAAATTGGTTAACTTACTTTAGCTGTGCACATGCGCACAACCACAGAAAGTTCCTGTACGACTAGATCGACACACTTTATAACCGGCTCCTTGAGCAGCGCTATTTGCCTTTTCACAATTGCCTCGAACGCCATGTCCGGAGTGAAGAGACCCACGCGAATACCGTGAATATTCCGAATTGCGAATGAGATCTCTCGCCGCAGTTCCTTTTCATCACAAGCCATCTTAACGATCTCGAATCGCAGACTGTAAAACAAACGAAATATTAATACAAGTGCGGAGGAGGCTTCAGCTGAGAAACACATACCGTTCGTGGAAAATGCGATTGATCTTGGCTCCACCTGAGAGCTCATTTGTATTGACCAAAGCTGAGCCGCTGCCTTCAATTGTCCGCTCAAAGTCCGATTGCAACTGCTGAATCATTCTATGTAAGCACACATATGTTTAATAAGTTATCCCATAGATATAGATTAACATCTCTTTTGACTTACTGGAGCATAGCTTTTGTCTTGATGCTGGCATCGCCGGGCTGAAAGTGCTTAAACTCCTCAACCTCCTTCTCCAGTGTAAGCATCTGCTTTTGCAACTTGTCTCGCAAGCCAGGTAACGTGTCCCTAATATGGTTGGTGAGTTGTTGGTTGAGTACCCTCTGCAAGTAGGGGGTTCCGAGACGGTCGGCCATGTGACGGTAGGAGGGATGGCTCAAGAAGAACTTGCGCTCGGCCGCCAACGCCTGGTGGATGTCCTTGCGTCCCTCGATATCCTTCTGCGATCGGTTCACCACGCCAATATAGCCACGGCGCAGAGGAAGCAGCTTGTTCTCAAGAATGTCCCGGGCATCGGTGCCCTCGTCCATAAGATCCAGCTTTGTGATAACGCCGATGGTGCGCACACCCTGCGGATCCACCTCCTTGGCCAGCTTGAGGGCATCCGAGTTGGCCAGATCCGTGTTGGCCGGTGTCACAGCCAGAATTAAACAAGTCTCTTTGCGAATAAATTGGAATATCATCTGCTTAATTTGCTGTTCAATATCCACTGGCTGATCGCCAATTGCCACTTTCGTTAGGCCAGGCAAATCAATCAGAGTTAGATTGAGTACATGGGGCGAGTAGACGCGCAAATTAATTGGAATGTTTGAAATGCCTTTGTTACTACCGGTCACACGATCCGTCTCATCTTCGATTTCTTTTCTGATCTCATCAAAGCTTGAGAACTTTTTGCCTTTAATGTGAAGGAACTCGCCATATTCTGTAACGAATGGAAAGCAGTTTTATTTATGAATACCCCTTTGGTGATATTAACTCTTTTAACTCACCGGTAACTCCATTGATCAACTGCAATATAAGGGGTCTGCGTGTCACGATACCAGAGCCACGAGGCAAGAAATCTCTGCGGAAAATAAGAAATTTTCGAATTAGTTATGAGATGAGATAAGGAGATATTTGGGGAGTATGCCTATCCCAAAATTCCTATCCTATACATTGATGCCGATTTCAACTTGATTGTGCAAAATCACATCTCATAGGTAAACGCCCCTTCCTTAAACATAAGTATTTTACGATTCTCAATGTTTTGCTTTTAATCTCATTGATAGGGTCAACGCCCCTTTTCTTAAATATACGAAATTCGGAATTTGCAGTGCTTAATTGCAGGCGCTCGCCACTATTTGTGCTTTTCGGTTGGTGCGTCAGCGAAGATGACATTGTAATGAGGTTATTTCTCGTTTATAGCGTATCCACCAAGTTCAATAAAGTTCCCTTGGAAGAAGGGGAGTTTGATTGTTCTAACCCTTAGTTCTTATGAAGCTGCCCTCTTTTTTTAATATATTATTATATAATATTTGTAATATATTAATATTACTTACAAAAAAAAAGAGACTATAGTTAGTAAGATCTAAAAGCTGGATACTTTGTTACACAACATTTTTTGATTCGATGATTCAATTTAATAATTGTTCTTGCCTGGGCAGATTCATAATTCTTATAAAGCTCCTATATATTTTTTTATTAATATAAGATTATGTTAGTATTATCTATAAGCAGGATAATTTGGTAAAAACATTTTTTAATTGGCTTTTTAAATTAAAAAATGGTCTTGCCTAGGGAGATTCTAAGTAAAAATACATTTATAGTAAAACGTTGTAGCCCAATTGTCGTTAACATTAATCTCTTGCATCTTTTGATTGCTTTATATGTAATATGGGAAACCTCCCTAACAGAAAGTTATACATAAATATATGGAAACAAAGATTTTCATAAATATTAATTCGTCTAATTAATTGCTTCACAAACAAAAGCCCAACCGAAATATTGCCAGTTAGAAAATTCTGCCCCCAACATTTTCCTTCAGAGCCACCCGTGAAAATATATACATACATATATGTAAGTATGTATGTAGGTACGTGTAAACACGGCGCATGCGAAATCTATCTGGGCTATTTTGAAAATGGTTAGCTTATGTAAGCACAAACTCTACATGGTTTAATGCAGTTTTTAAATACATTGATGGGTTTATTGATTACTCTATTTTCAGTCGTTCCAGGAATTCATGAAGTCTTGATTAAATAAATAAAGCAAATACACATAATGTCGTATACAAAGATATAATAAAACTGATATGAAAAAAAACCATCTAGAATTTATGTTTCTTTACAAATCGTTAAAAAAAACTTTAATGGCATAGTACAAACATTTTCCTTATATCATTTTCTTTTGGCGTAAGCCATTGTTTTTATTAGGTTTGTATAAAGAGTGGGCGATAGCAAGGAAAAATGAGACACAGCGCAGGCTTATAGATACACAAAATAAACGTTATTGATACATATATTTTATATATTTGGTTAACAATTAAGCTATATCTTTTCCCTGCCCCTGTGTCCAGCGGAATTTGAAACTACATTTTAGATACAAATTTTGATAGATAAACTTTCTTATCACGATAATTAAGTTACGGCCAGCGCTGATAATGTTTGGCCATTATTTACAAGTACACTTGCTTCGAAGACAACAATTATAGATTGTTAATAAACAATAAAGAAGAAGAAAGTGGGGGATAGAGTGTTATCATATGATGATTCATATGTAATTGAAGCCTTATAAATTGGGTAAAGCACAAGGACTGTTCTGAATCATTGTGATAATGTCCATTGGGCAAAGTTATCACACAATACAGAGAATTCCGCAAGACCGGAAAAATCGATTTGCTGTGGGCAAGAAGCTCCACAAAAAGCACAGCCAAAGCCAAGCCAGGCTATTATCAATCAAAATATAGGCTAGTAATTTGGGGTACTGATAGCACCATATAGCACAAATAGGGGTTGCGATACTCACTTGCCAACGAAGTTCTCCAAAACAGAACTCTTGCCAGCTGATTGGCCGCCGACCACTGCGATTTGCGGCAGATCCAATTGCATATGGACGCCCAGCGATGTGAACGCATCTTGCAGCTTGTTTACAATCGTTATGAGGTTATCCATTGCGGCAAGTGCTGCTCTTTCACAATCAGATTAGAGATTGGGGGTGTTCAGAACGGATCGAACTGCGATCGTGACTCCGTCCGGGTGGTTCGTGTTTTATTCTCTGCGTTTTCTTCTGCACTGCGCCCTCCTCTGCAATTACTGTATTGTGTTGTTGTACATTAATTACATATCATATATGTGTACTCTTCCAGGTCCTTTCTTTTTGCACTCTCTGCCACTTTCCTTTTCATATAGCATAGTATATAGGAAGTAGGATTCAAAAAAAAAAAAGAAAAAAACAAATATGCGTAAGCAAATTGAAGACCGAAAACGTTATTGGAGAGCGCTCGTGTGCTCGCTCAAGAGTTACTCATTCTCGCACACGGTCAAGTTAACCCGATATAATAATACCACACCACAATAACCTTTTATTTCATTTCATGCTTCTGATTATAATGGAACTCTGAGAATTCGCGAGTAGTGCGACATCTAAAGGTTGTTGCGTTACAAGCGAAAATGTTTATCGACATTTACACAAAAAGAATTTGTATATATAGAAATTATCATCGACTTTTCCAATCGTCGTTGTCGTTCAATTCTCAGGCGTAGTAACAGTGTAGTGTTTGTGTCTTAATGTCATGTCCATCGGCCAAACGCACAGCTAATATAACAATTTTGGGTCTTGTCTTTAAACAAATATTCTTCTTATTGTGCAAACTGACGACTATCACCACACTCCACCACTCCAAAGCGTTTCAATGAAATTTTTCGACTAAAACTAGAGATGCAAAAACGCATTCATAATCTGTACCCGATAAGCTGGTCTGATTTTTTTGGTATAATTGATAGAGCTGTGTGAATCACTCGCAGTATCGATATTAGAGGTTCGATATTAATCGATGGCACTCGGGGTCTTGTAGCGTGTTCAGACGCAGCATAATTCTGCAACAACGACAAAGCTCTGCAACAGCGACAGAAAGCGGAAATAGGTTACTAATCCTATGTGAGAAAAAGTAAATTCTTATTTACAACGGAAACTTGTAATTTGTATATTTATTGAATATTTTTTAACGAGCATTCCATTGGAAATCTCTCAGTACTATTTTCAAAAGGGTGAAACATATAAAAATGGTTTGTACTATGTAGTACCTGTAATGTCAGCATACAAAACTATTAAAAATTTAATTTTATAAAAATATTATATTTTAAAATTTATTAGGCATTTTAAGTAACTGAATCTTAGCTTTTTACAGAAACTACTCTTGTTCTTCTGTTACTTCGTTTGCAACAGCGACATCCTGTTCGAACAGGTTGCAAGAACTATCACTATTTGCGGCGTTCCCTATCGATAACTATGGGAGCGCAAGGTCGCGGACAAGAGCTTTTCAAAAACAGCTGACTAGTTGGGCAGAAGATTATGGATTTTCATATACTCATTGCTATCGAGCTCTATTGTTAACCTGAAATGGGGTTACTATTCCTTACTATTACTATTTCCTCTTGCGCATGTCAGCCCATTTTACGTATTTTAGACACTGCGCAGGCACCGTATCCATAGGGGTGGCAAAACGTTGCAATTAGGGCGAGTGGGTTCGATATTTCAGGGCATAATCGATTATAATAGAAGAATAACCTTTGGCATTTAATTTAAAGTCGTTAAAGCTTTCTTTTTTGAAATAGTCGTTAGCCTAAATTAAGTTGGGACAAAATGATAATTTCTTCTAATCGATTTTTGTATTTCAACAAATTGTTATTTTAATTAAATTTTATCTACAATAAAACAGAGTGCAACAAAAACGGTCTAAAGGCCCTATCAATCATGAGGTCTTGGAAAAATTTTGCTTATGATGAACCCAGGCATCTTTGGACTTGCGCATCTTGCCAAGAATCTTATCCATAACTGAGCTTTGGTTAAAACTGAGGAAATCTTGTCTCATCTCCGGCCATTCAGTGTCTGAAGCAGCCTGACAACTCTGTACATCGATTTTCTCCGGTTCTGTATGGCTATTTGGACTAGAACTAGAGTGCTTATTCTGGATGTCCAGTTTGGACAGTACTTCCTGGACCTGATATAGACCGCTGCTCGTCTTGTCGCGAACAAACTTTATCCGGGGAACTTCGCCCATCAGGTGGAGCTGCGATAGCTCGTGCTGCAGTTTGCCGCTCAAGCGATTCAGCTTATCCTCGAGCACATCGTTGGTTGATCCATCCTTGCCCATCCAGTAGACATTGATTCGCGAAAAGTCGCTGGTGATCTTCACATAGGAAATTTGCACACCTTGACCAACGATGGAATCGGCCACTGCGCCGGTTGCCAAAATATCGGTTATGTTCGTCATGAAGACCTTGTTCAGGACGGACATGCGCCGAATGTTGTCCCGAGCCGAGTGCGAATGGGGTGTTCCGAACTTCAAGGCGTGCAGCGAAGACCCCGACTTTTGATTTCCACTGCCGCCAGGTGAGCTTGCCTCGGGCGCTGGGTACCACCGGCTACTACTGCCCTTAAGCCGGTTTCCAAACAACGAGCTGAATATTTTGCCCTGCCGCATTACGTTGTCTTTCTTCGTGTTTTTTGTGCTTTTATTCCGTGAAAGCGTTCGTTGGTATACATTGTTGATTGCCAAGTTTCCAGTTTGCAGCCTCAGAACACGAATGGCTAACATTTGGTATTGTTGCATTAATTATTATTTACTAGATAAAATAAAAGAAAACAAAGTATGAGTGTGACCAGGCCCTGGCCTTTTAAGTATTCCATAGAGATGGAAGAAATATCGAGGCGCATCCATCATTTATTTCTGATATAGCCTCCTTCCACTGATACACCAGCACTTCAAATATTCTCGTTCGGTTCATTTTCGAAAAAAATTGTTAGATTGTACAGAAATATAAAATTAACAGCTGATTTGTTCAATGAAGGTTTAAAATACAGAAAATTTCTTGTCTCTGCAATTTGATTAAAACTGTTCTTACGTATATTAACCAAGATTCATTTAAGGAAATTTCTGCCCCACCCCCGATGTGCCAATTCACTGCGAACTGTAAATTAAAAGATTTTAACTTTTCACAAATCTTAATTGCAAAACAAATTACAAATTCTGCAGGATATTCGAAAACTATACAATTTCACTAACAAAATATTTGGATTTAAATAAAAGGTACCAAATTCGTTTTTATTTTCCGTTTTACGATTTTAAATATTTGTATAGTTAAATGGTAATCTAGGCCATACAAAAATGAAAACTTTTTATTTTTTATTTATTAACAGATTTTCATGATTGGTCTTCCAACAGAGATTTTTCCCCCATCCTCCACCAGTGTAACTGATGGTCAATAAGGATTTCCCGTTCCAAAATTTTTCTGTTAGTCCCTTATCCAATTTTAAGAACATTTTAATAAAAAAAAACAAAGTTTCGTTAAAAAGTCTCAGAACATGTGCCATACGTAAATAACAACTAATATTATTTATATCCTTCTTTTAAAAAATGAGAACAGTAAAAATATGTATATCAGCTGTTAACGTATGGCGGATAGTGGATGTGCTCTGTGAAATCGTAGTTTCATATTTGTCAGAAATCCCAACTGTTCCCAACGAATGGATATTTTCAGTGGGAATCGTTCATAGTACCAACGTTTCAGTGCCTGACAACATGGTGCTATCGCTCCTGTCGATTACTTTTCAGTAATAAAAGACCTTTAACCTACTAAAATCATTGTCACAATTTTCATAGGTAGCTCGCAAATTTGTAAATACAGTAAGATCCAAAAGGTCAGTATATCTGAGCAATAGTAATATTCATTTGTGAAATCATACTCGTGTAGAGAGGTGTAAATACATGAATATGAAAATAAACTTGTTGAAAAGGCACGGATAAAGGGTAAGCGAATAAACTTTGGAATTTACATTGCAATTGCATATGTACATATATTTCGGCCCATTACTGATGCGCTTACACATATATCTACCTTCTTTTTGGGATACCAACCGGAATTTGTATATTTAAATGATCATCTGTTCGTGACGAAATGCGCTACTCCCCAAATGACGATACACACAGGTTGATGTACAATATTGTAAGAATCAACGCATAAAAACATCAGAGGGACAAAATACAATTCCCCAAAAGCAATATGGAATCCAAAATTGGTGCTGATCAGGCACAAAATTCTGTCTATGACAAGGAAATCGGCAATAATCTGAGTACCGATGAATCTTCATTTCTGGGCAACATTCTGCGCGAAATCCTGTACAGTCCAATGAACTTGGCCCTATTGGCCATAATATGTTTCTTGGTCTATAAAATTGTTCGTGATCGCACCGAAGTTCCCTCTGTGGGTGTAGCAAAGCCATCTGAGCCGGAGTTACCTAAAATTCGCCGTGACTTCACCGTTAAGGAACTGCGCCAGTACGACGGAAATCAGCCGGATGGTCGCGTTTTGGTTGCCGTTAATGGAAGTGTTTACGACGTTAGCAAGGGAAGACGTTTTTATGGGCCAGGTGAGTGTTGCATTACAATTATTAAAGTATGATTGTACTTGGTCGTAACTTTGTGGGTATAGTTTGGCAAGCTTTATTGTATGTTCTTGTAATTCCTTAGTTTTGATCTTGGTCGTGTTTATTAAATGTTAGTTTGATCGATTTGATAACGGGGTGTCTTTTATCTCGACAGTTAATACACTATAGCCTAATCTATTTGTTAGTTCCGAAATGGTATGCATATCTCGCCAAATTTTCTTCAATTGTTTTGTCGCCAAGGCTAAGACCTTATCAACATCAAACCCTCTAAATAATCATAAGTGAACTATCTGGTCAAACTCACAATTTAAATAATACCTTAAAAATGTAATTCGACGATAAGCATGAATTGCAAAAAAAGAAAAGGTTCCAAACTAACCAAGCCCAGATATAAAAAAGCTTTTTTATCTATTATTGTTCTATTAATATTTGTTTGTTTAAACGTTGAATAGAAATCACTTATGGTTAACCTTTAGTGAATTAAATAAAGTATACCAGCTGCATTTGCTAGAACAGATATAGATTGCTTTGTAATTAAAATAGTCATAGTGAAGTATTAATTGCCTACACTGTTAAATTATAACAGTGACATTTACAAATTGCATTGATATTTTGCTTAAATTGGAGTTAACCTTAAGTGAATTAAATAAAGTATGACATCTTAATTTGTTGGAAAACTATTTAAATTCCTTTGTAATTAAAAAACTTATAGTAAAATATTCATTTCCTGAATTCCTTTAATTAAAGTAGTGGCATTTACAAAATGAATTGGTTTTCTGCTTAAGTTAGGAAACGGAAACTACTGAGTGCGAGCAAGACGCAACACACTTGTGACGTAGATGCGCAGAAAACCCTATTGTTGCGCACTAGATAGCGCTATCTTTTTACTACGGTGTCGCGGTCATAATGACCAGGCATCTAACATTAGCAAAGTGTATTAATTTCCCGGCTTTCCTACAGGTGGACCATACGCTACATTCGCCGGAAGGGATGCCTCCCGCAACTTGGCCACATTCAGCGTGGTTTCGAATGACAAGGATGATTACGACGACTTGAGCGACTTAAGTGCCGTGGAAATGGACTCTGTGCGCGAATGGGAAATGCAATTTAAGGGTAATTAAATCGTAAATTACTTTAATCAATGCACATTTAGTTAACATATTATTTGTATACATTATTTAGAAAAATATGAGCTGGTTGGCAAGCTTTTGCGTAAAGGCGAGGAACCGACCAATTATGACGAGGATGAAGACGATGAAAATGTCAACAATGATGATGCAGAACAAACAAACAGCTTGCGTAAACATCTACCCAAGTCGAAAACTGAGACTGATGACAAGAATCAAGAGAGTCACATTTTGCAAGGCAACAATGCAACCAAAACCAACGCACAAGATGAACCAATTTCTACCGACTGTTAGCGAATTCAGGTTTTTGTTTGGCTTTTGGATGTGGCTGTAATAGTTTATTTTCGGTTAGAAACACAAAAAAAAACTAAATAGCATTTCCGACTCGTTTAATGCTGCCTCTACTCCTTTAACTGAAACTGAGAACAAGACCTAATTGGAAAACATTTAAAGAAAACACCCTAATTTGAGCCATACAAAACAAGGCATTGAATTCATCATGAACATTTAACAAGAATTTAAAAGGTTATACAAAGGTTTTTTTTAATGTTATTCTTAGAGTGCAGCCTTGACAAAAGCTATAGTTGTTACTATCTATTTCACGTTGTGATGTGATCTTGTTCCATATATTATAGTAGTACATTCATACACATGTAACAAACGGAAATCATAAAATTAATTAAGGAGGAGGCCAATGTGTGAGGGTATGGGAGTCATTTTCGTGGCAATATAAATTTAAATGTAACTATATTTGAAATACAAATTAAATACTTAAACCTATCTTTATGTTCTTTATTTGGCGGTTCAAGAAAACATTAAAAAGTGAGAAACTTCTTGGGAAATAAAGTTTATTTTCTCGTCTTCATGTTAGCAAATGTTAAACTACAAAAAATCATGTCTTACGATAAAGTTTTACATATCACAAAAACTTTCGAGGGTGACACGAAAATCTCTTCCGGTGAAATTTTTACGTACGTCCTTACAAATTCCAACCGATATCCACCCGAGAGGATTGTTGTGTCACCACCGTTTCTTTTTTAAACCTTAATCGACAGCAAAAGATTTCATTGATTTTCTAATAAATATATTAAAACATATATTTATGTGTACAAAAATATTTGTTTACACATTTTGCAAAATATTGTGGGTTGTGGGAGCTATTAAATTGTTGCCTATCGATTACAGAATCAAAAATACTTATGAACTTATTGAACGGTATTTTGGTATATATTTGTACTTATCGGGAGTGACAGAAATGTCTTTAGGTGCAATTCTGTCAAAATTTGTATTAACGTACACATGATGTAAAACCTAATGTAACCAACTGAAATTACCGCGTTAAAGTAGTTTTGTTTAAAGTCACTTGTTTATCTTAAAGTCTCTATAAATTATTTACAAAAAGACTCTTATTGAAAAAGAAAATAAAGATGCCCAATTTTTGTATTAATTCTTTATTTTATTAACATAATGTTGCAACATGATATCGTAAACATTTAAGTTACCTGTTTCGCGAGACACGAGAAACGTGTTCGACTGCACAATTGCACCGTTCCCACTATTCTTTAAGTAATCGTATTAGGTAGAACTGTTTACTAACTTCACGAAATATAATTAGAAATACAACTGACTGAAAAAATCTGTTTATTTTAAGCACCTGTTTTCTTCATAAATATTAAAAATTAGTTTATATTATCTTGACTTATAGTAAAAGTATATGCATACATAGATATATTTCCGATTGTAGCATTATGTTCTAGGAAGAACTCCGAACGAAACAGCTGTTTGACCAATTATCGCCAGTTGATAACTTTTCACATCTACCAAAGGCAACGAAACGCGAAATCGCACCAACGCGTCCACAGTGGAGGTCCACCACCGTTCCGATAGTTCCCAATAATGTTATCCCCTTGAAAGTGATTTTGCCCCAAGTTATCGAAAAATTGTCCGTCTCTGAGACTATGTGTTGGGTTCTTTGTGGTTAACAAAATTTTCGGAAAATAATATTGGATTTTATGTAAAATATACATAATTGGCGTGATGACAGTTAGTTTGAGAATGATGCATATTTTGCGTTGATGCGCGATATCGATTCTGTGGCGTTTGTTGTGCGTTTGGTGTGTGTGGAAAATGTAAAAAATGTAAAAATGTACGAACAATCGTTGTCGTCGTCGTCGTCGTGGTGTATGTCGTATATGTCGTATTTGTCGGTTGTCGATTGTCGGTTGTCGTATTTTGTATGTATGTACATTAGTACGTGCTGTGTGTGATGTGATGTGCTGTGCTGTGCTGTGTACTGGTGCTAACGACGCTGCGCTGTCTGTTACTGAGTACACAACATGTAGGGACGACACTATGTCGACGGTACGGCCACGGCAATCGCAATCGCAATTAGAAAAGTGTAAGCGAGATGACTATTGCAGCCAGCTGCCTCTCCTCTCTCTCTGCTAGAGACATTGTACAGAGCAGAGCGGTGGAGAGCAGGGCACATACATACATGTATGTATGTACAATGCTAACTAGCGCGCGAGCGCTCTCGCCTCGCCGTTGCGGCAACGACATTGTCAACTTTAGACTTGTAGACTTATAGACAATATAGGATAGTAAAAGGAAAGGCAACGCAAGGCAAGGCAAGGATAGGAACGAAAGGCGCAGAAGGCGTAGAGAAAAAAAAATACCGACCCGAACTGGTGTACCACCTCCTCCCCATCTGCGTATATAAATATACATATATACTCGCGTACGAATTTCTATGTACGCATGTATGTACGCTACGTATGTACATCTATGTATGTACGTACATATATCTCAAGAAGAAGAAGAAGCAGAAGAGGAGGAAGAAGAAGAAGAGGAGGAATACGAACAAGAAGAAGAAGAAGAGTATATGACGAATGATGAAGTGCTAGACAAAATAAATATGGACTATTTTCGGTGAATTCCTAAATCGGCTTTTGTGTGTGTGTTTTTTTTTATGTTTTTATGTTACATACTTTACATATGCTGTGTTTTGTGTAATTCTGCTGACCTGAAATCAAAAAAAAAATAAAACAAAAAACAAAGTGTGCAGAATTAAATATTATGTGTGTGTGGTGTGTACAGAAAAAAGCGCAATAGGGAAGTTGACAAAAAAAAAAAATATGAAGAGAGAAGGAATAAGAAAAACAAAAAATATTAATAATATTTGAAATCGTTTTTGCGACTTTTCGAAGCCACCTCCTAACTGGTTTAACCACCGGTCGGAAAATGAAAAACCCCGCAGTGGTCCCAAAATAACAAAATAATACTTCAAAACACAGTCGGCGCAGCATCGATTTTTTCAAAATACACGCGATTGAATCGGTTCGGTTGGCCAAAAAAAAAAAAACGTACCACCTTGAATCCCCAATATTTGTAAAGCTTTCGCCCCCCAATCGATGGTATAAAAGAAAAAAAAAAATAAAACCCTACCCGAATGCATTGGAAAAGGTTTGGTCCAAGATGCAAAATCATACATAATAATAATATATGGTCATCGCTGATTTATATTCCCAAGGAAAAGGAACTGAGGAACAGTAATCCACTGGAAGCCTTACGCAAAAGAAATGGACACATCAAATGCCAGCGCTAAATCAAAGACGTCTGCGTCGGGCGGCAGTAGTATTAATGGTTTAGGAACCCAAATTAAGCATATATCGTCGCAGGACATCGGCTCCACCAGCGTTTCTGTCCAGGATGAGAAGAGCGAGTCGTCGTCGTCGTCGTCATCGTCATCATCCTCGCCGCAGTCCACCCTGCACCCGGTAGTGGGTCAGCATCAGAATCCGACTCTGAACCAGAATCACCAACTGAATCCGAATCAGAGTCAGAACCAAAACCAGAATCCAAGTCAGAGTCAGAGTATATCGAAGGGTTCGACGACTGCCCTGGCGGTACTGCATCTTCCTCCGCCAACGGCGACCGCCTTAGTTCAAGCAAGTGCCAATATCCCGGATCTGGGCTCCATGCCGCGTGCACGGCCATCGTTCGTATCGAACAGTACCAGCACCACCTCCTCATCGACGACCACCTCCTCCTCCTCCTCAACGACGGATGGTGGCAAGCCCATGGCCGTGGCAGCGATTCCCCCGGAATCCATCTCCACATCGGAGCCCACCTGCTGTCCACCTGCCTCGGCGGTAAACTCGATGGCCAGTGCCTGTGACTTTGACTCCGATACGGAACTCTCCATTGTGGCAGCCGCAGCGGCGGTATCCGCTGCTTCAGCCGGCATCGATTCGAGGTCACCCTCATCTCCGCCACCTGCGCCGGCATCCGCATTAATGCCCAACCTGAGTTCCAGCGCGGGAGGAGGCGCTGCAACCATGGCCGGCAACCAGGCGGGCTTTGGAACGGGATCAGGAACCTTGGTGGGGAACACCAATGGACACAGCAACACCTCCAGCAGCAGCACTCACCTCAGTTTGAATGCCAAGCAGCAGCGCCAGCAGAAACGACGGAGGGAACGTGCCCAGCGTTTGCAGGCGGAGCGCGACAGTCGATGTAATGCCAGCTCGCTGGGCGGCACCTTCATTGCCGGCTCCTCTGTGGGTGCCGGCAGTGCCATGAGTGCAACCAATGGGAGTCAAGGAGGAGCAGGAGTTGGAGGCGGAGTGGGACCAGGTGGAGGCCTCGTCACGCCCAGTGGTGGCGGCTCAGCGGCAATGACAATGGGCAATGGATCGACGGCAGGACCCGGCAACAACAATGGCATGATATACCACATCAATAGCGCTGGCAGCATGGGCGAGGATAGCAACAATTCGAATGGCAACTTCACCAGCAGCAGCAATGGCAGCAACAACCTGCTGCCGCCCACAGATAGTATTGCATCTCTGCTCCTTAATCCACCACATTCCCCCGAGTGCAACTCGGGCCTGATGGCCACGCCCAGCGATAGTGAGGGCGAGTCGCTGGACGAGGATCTGCTCTCGACCTCGTCCTCGTCGACGCTGCTCCTGCCGCGGGACAAACCGCCGCCTCGGCCACCACCTCCGGTGCGAAGAAAGCTACCGCGATCTCCGGTGCTCGAGGAGGAGATCATCGATGGCTTCGCTATTCTGGAGTTTAAGACATACGAGGATCTTGAGGTAGGTGTTTCCCTTGCATTTCAAGGCTTTTCCATTAATAAAACATATTTGTCTGTTCTAGTTTGCCATCAAATTGGGACAAAAACGCAAGGAGAAACGACTTTCTGCACTGGACGAGCTAACCTGTACCTACAGCATAGAGGAAATGAAAATTCCAAAGGTTATCGATACGGGTCAATCGCAACCTTTGCGTGTCACCAGCCTTTCCACACTCACGGTTAACAACAACAATCTGAATCTTAAGGATAACCCCCAGCCTCTTCATCGTGCCGGCAATGTCATGGGCAGCAACAACAACGTTAACAACAACAACAATAATAATAGTAATAATAATAATAATAACAACAGCATAGCCAGCAATGGACCCAATGCGAATAGCAATAGCAATAGCAATAGTATGGCCAATGTGGTCTATCTGCTGCCCTCGGTGAACATTGGCAATGTTTTGGAGGCGGAAACGGAGCCCCGGGATCACTGGCGATCCGAATACGGGCAGCAGCAGGATCAATTGCAGTCGGACAATAGCGCGGTGAACAGTAAAAGTAATAAC